AAGTTTGAAGGATATTTTCTATAGAAGCAAAATAGACCAAAATCTCAAAATTTGAGTAGTGCATGAAAAAACTATAGTTTTGCCTGTAGTGTCTTGTCTTTGCTTCTCAAGTAAATATATCTTGATTTAAAAATGTTTAGATATTAGTGCTGTCAAACGATTAATCGCGATTAATCACATCCAAAATAAAAGTTTTTGTTTGCATAATATATGTGTGTACTGTGTCCATTTATTATGTATATATAAATACATACACATACAGTATATATTTCAAAAATATTTACATGTATTTACATGTATATATTTATATTCATATCAATTATATTTTATATAAATATTAGTGCTGCACAACGATTATAAATTTTTTATTGTGATTAATCGCATGATTTTTCTGCGATTAATCGTGATTAATCCCATTATGCACAAAATTCAATAATGAATTCAAAAGTAGTGTATTGCGCACTTTTTCCATTTAAAAGTACTGCTATATGAACAAAGGTGCAATACCATTTGGTTTGCAAACACTTTAAACAAAAAAGTTGCTTAGTAGCAGTTAAAATATTTCTTGTAAATCTCAACTTAAACATTAATGTAATCAAATTAAATATAAAACCAAAGCTATTTGCCACTGCCAGAGCATTAACGTTTTTATAGAAAATATTATATAGTTTGTTATAGAAAAACAAGTTATGCTCAGAGTCCAGAGCCTCGATCATAACATTATAACAGGCGCCTTCCGAGTAGAGACCTGCAAAATCGCGGGACCCAACGCAACAGTGCGGCACGGGACAACACTTGATGGGCGAGTGCAGGAGCGGGCGGGTATAGACGCGTGTGTGCGGGACGCGGGAGAATAAGGGTGTACTCACACTAGGCAATCTTAACCGTGCCCGAGCGCGTTTGACCCCCAAAACCTGGTTCGTTTGACTAGTGTGATCGCTCCAGTTCGTTTAGCCGGCTCTTGCTCGGTTGGAAGAGGTGGGTCAGAGCACGGTTCAGTTGCACTCGGGCGCGGTACACATGTAGTGTTGGAGTCCAAAAATTTACCCTTATGACTGGTTTTGTGCTCCAGGGTCACATATGTGTTGTATCTGACGTATCGAATCGTGCCTCTGTAGAGTCTGTGGACACTAAGCTGAACTTCAGTAATCTGCTGATGATGTATCAGGACAGCGGCGGCAGTCCAGACTCCAGCGAGGAGGACAACTCACGCATGTCCATGTTACCGCACCTCGCCGACCTCGTCAGCTACAGCATCCAGAAAGTCATCGGATTCGCCAAGATGATCCCTGGATTCAGGTGAGACTCTGTTCTCTTCCCTTTTGACCTGGTGTGAAGTGTTGACCTCCCATTAGCCAGGAATTGAGCATTTGTTTTTCTCCCTCACAATTCAGTTTAAACTATGCATGTTGCACTTCAAAGTGATGTTACCCAACCAGTGCAGCCATTATTATCCAAAAATACAATTATTGAAAATAATATTCGTTCATTGAAATAATTATGAAATGAAATATTTGATGAAACTTCAAATAAAAAAACTTAAATGAAAATAGGAACTGTTGCCATGTTTTGAAGTATTAAAGTTACTTAAACTGGAACAAAAATAAATTCAAATTAAGTAAAAAAATGTAAGAAAACAAAAACTAATGAAAATTACAGAAGTACTAAAACTAAGAATAAAATTAACTCACAATATCAAAACAATTAAAAATCATTTTCATTAATTGAAATAAAGCTGATATCAAAGCTGAAACGGAAAACTTGAATGAAAATTTTAAATTTTGTCATGGCATCTAACTTAAGTTTAAATTGAAGTACTACAATTATTAAAACTAAAACTGAAATAAATATAAATTAAAACTAAATACAAAAACTAATAGAAATCACAAAAGTATGCTAAAACATAAACTAAAATTAAAGTGCCCCTATTATGGGTAATGAAAGGTTCATGTTTTGGTTTTGGGAGTCCCCAACAACAGGTTGACATGCATGCAAGCTCAAAAAAACACTTTCATTGTCTTATAATATGCATTTATTTTTACCTTATTTGCTCAACGACTCCCAAACGATTCGTTTAACGATTCGTTTTTCCAAACCCCTTCTTTGCGTGACACTAATCAGCGGTGATTGGTCTCATTTTCATGTCATCTCGCCTGTAATGCCTGATAAAGCAGCGTTTGATAAAGTCTGCTAAATGCATAATTATAAATTATAATTATTAAATTAATTAATTTATTATAAAGCAGCGTTTGTGAGCGCAGTGCTGCTTTGTGTGCAGCGTTACCGGGGAAACAGCTATTTTTACCGCTTCAAAAGCGACACCTAGTGGCAAAGAATTAATTTGCATCTTCATTCAGACCAATGCGGAAAGACCAACAAGTGGGCGGGCAATATGCTTGTTTCATGTTGACTTCAAGATAAAACGGCTTGGGATTTATTTTAAAAATGACTCGTTTCAATGATTCAGAGTCGACTCTTTCTTTTGAGAGACAATGGGCCTCATTTACGAAACGAACGTACGACAGAAAATTGGGCGTACGGTCGTTTCAACGCAAAACGTGGAATTGATCAATATGGACGTGAGCGGTGGCTACGATCAAATCTCACGTCTGGTCTCAGCTCGTGTACGCAAGTTTTTGAGTTACCTGAACTTGTGCAGAGCATAGTAAATACGGTGGAGAAATGTAGATTGACAGCATTTTGTTAATTTTTATATTCCTGACCGTCAAACGAAGCTCATTAGTCGATCATTAACCAGTCAGATTAGAATGTATTTTTTGGTGTTGTTTTGTACAGGGCTTTAGCTTTATATGCGCGAATAGCAGCATAAACAAGACCGTGAGGATTCAATCGTCGCATCATGCACCTGCAGCGCTTCTGTGAAAGGAGAAAACAGAAATTAAGTTTATAAAAGGAATAAAATCAATAGGATCACACAAAATATATAATAGGCTATAATATAATTAAAAGATTAACAAAAGGGGGAAAAAACTGTGCAACAAGTATAGGCTACGCTCGTTTTTGTGACACTCTTAATGCATTTAATTTATTTTCTTTATATCTTTATTTGATTGAATCCATCTGATCGCACAGGCGCCTCTCGCACACACACACAACATTAGTTCTAGCGTTGCCTGACATTTCAGCCATTCAGCATCAAACTAAAATGCAGTCAACCAAACATAAAAGTAACTGTTTATTTTAAAAGATCCGCTGTAAAATCAGCGTGCAGCGCCCGAACAATAAACATTTTTGCTCACGTGAAGGATTTTACACAGATATTAGAACATGACTGAAGTATAAAGCCATGTTTAGGCTACAAACAAATATTACAAATATGGCAAAAATGGATACATTTGGATTCTTCTGGTATGAGACAGGCGCGTGAGCCCAATGCCGTTTCAGTTTTGCTTGACATTTGTATGCTGTTTATAATGAATGCCACTATAGCCTAATTTGTTTTATTTTACAGTTTAAAATATAATTGTATAACTACTTATTTTTCATTCTTGTTCTGTTCTGAATACCGTTAAATTTAAAATATTTAAACTCTAGGGCGAGGCTTCTAAACCAGGGTGTTTTTAGGGGCGTGATATTCAAATGACGATTGTTTTCTGGCGCTACATTTATCAACATGCGATCATTCGTACGATGAGATCGGCGGCATACGAATGTTTCATAAATCACACGTGAACTCTGTCGTAAGTTGATTTGTGCGCACAGATCTGCGCTCGTTTCTACGTTAGATTGATAAATAAGGCCCAATAACTTTATACACGGTGCACTTTCAGATTTAAAACTTTGCAGGATGTTTTCATTCACTTAGAGCTGTGTTACACACTGCATGAAAGGTTATTTTCAGAAATCCATAATAGGGGGCACTTTAAAATGAAAACTGAATGTATCAAAACAATTACAGATAGATTTCATTTGTTGCAATAAAGCTGAAATAAAATAAAACGTAGATATCTGATTTAAAAAGCTTAAATGAACATTTAAAATTTTGCCATAGCAAATAACCTAAGCTGAAGTACTAAAATGACTAAAATTTAAATAGAAATTAAAATAAATTAAAACTGAATTGAAAAATTAACAAATTGAACAAATTTAAAATTGAACAAAATCAAACTAAAAGTGAACTAAAATGAAAACTGGAAATATCAAAAAGCTAATTCTAAATGAGAATTAATAGTATATAAATAATACTAAAATAACACTGTACCTAACGTCCACCGTCTTCCAACAGCAGTTAAATGGTGATAAATGGTTTTATATTTACTTATCAAAGGCTGTTTTTTTGCTCTTAGCGAGTGCTTATGTGCTTAGCGGTGGCTCGTTCAGATCATCACACAGCACTTTCCGAAGAAGAGTCTGGAGTATGTGTGTGATCTTCAGTCCACAAGTATTAAGAGCTGATTATTTCACAGCTGTAAATAAATCTTAATTTGTGCTGCTGGATCTCAATCAGAACTTGGGGTGTGCGATATATATCGTCTGTGATAATATCGTAATTGTTGTTTTAACGATGTGCGATTTGACATTATTGAGTATTTAGCAAAAACCATTCAAAACACTCCTACAGAGCGCACGCATACATTGTCTAGTGCACGTTTAGAGTGCGTTCTTTCACGGCATGATTCAGTCTAATAAAGAACATTTAGAATGATCACAAATTCAAGACATGATGGCAGAAAATGTATATATTTATACCAGTTCATATAGTTAATCAATATCACATGAAGAGTGCTGTTTCTTTCTACAAAAATTACCATGATTACAAACGTAATGTTGATTTTTTTACAGCAGTTAATTAAGAGACTTACGTTTTAGTATTATTGGCTGTTTTTTGCGCTATTTCGACAACAAAAATAACTCCAAACACAGCCACAGCGCTGTTTTGCGTCTCTGAGCAACATGACGGTGTTTCGTTCCTGAATGAATCAACCGTTTAAATGATTCGCTTCAATCGCAGTGACTCACTTATTAACAGTGACTTGCTG